TATTTGAAGTTATAGCATCTGTATTCTCTAGGTGAGACTTCATATGAATTGCATTAATATTTCTATTAACTCTATTTTCAATGCTATTAAAAACCATCCTTCTGGTTATAGTTTAATGCCCAATTAAAATATCATTTGCAACAAATTCAAATCAAGTATTTAGTTTCTTTCCCTGTGTTAATTATTTAATCGTGGTTTAGAGACTATCAACTTTGAACAAAGCAAAAGCGAAAGCAAACAAAACAAAACAAAGACAAAAACAAACACAAACTCCAACCTATCCTTGCTCTTGAATCCTGTATTGAGAGACAGTTGGTATTTAACTGTATGCAGTGTGAACATAGTAATGGTGTTTATGCTTTTGCATGTGCTCTTTGTCTGCTAGTAATGTTCTCCTAACTGTATTTTTTAATATGGCAAACCCTCCATATGCTTCATAATTTCTCTCAGATATCATCTCCTTTGGGAAGTCTTCTCTGATGCCCCCTGTCTCTGCCCATATGGATTAGGTGCCCTTTCTATTTCTTTCAAATATCTGTCATGCTATCCTTGGAAATGTCTGATTGTTTGTCTCCCTTCCAGATTGAGCTCTTTGGGGCATGGACTTTAGATTTCCAGTGTCTAGCACAATTTTGGGTCAGTAGGAGGAATTTAGAAAATGTCAGTTAAATGAATAAATCAGTTTTTATGTATCGCTTTTGATTTATGAGATGATTATATTCTTGAAAAGTGGCGTTAAATTCGAACACCTACGTCAAAATTAATTTCTCACCAGAAATCAAAGAGCAATTTGCAGTTTTTCAGTTTTACTTTATTAATATTGAATTAAAGTGATCTTTTTAGCTTAATCGACCCCCCCTTACTTAACCGCCTAGTATTTCTTCGTTTAGTCATTGGCATTTAATGTCTCAGGAATGGATGATACACTAGAAAACCCTGCTTTAAGTGTCAGAAGCCTAAAACCAGGGGCATGCAGTTTCCAAATAACAGCCTTGAAAGAAAAAATGAAGAGGTAGGCTGTGCAGAGCAAAAGACTCTCTGAAATGGAGGAGGGGAAGAACTGGAAATGAGCAAGGGCTTCAGTTGCCAGTGTGCACCCTTGAGAAAGAGCCGTGTGTTCATTCGTTGAGCCCAGTTTGAGGGCCGGAGGAGAGAGAAAATGATAAATAATTCAAATAGGTGTGTAGAATGTGAAAGTAGAGAGAAATTGTGCCCCATTCCTTTGAAAGTTTCCCTCAGTCCTGATGCAGGACGGGAGATAAGGACTTCCCATTCACATCTATAACAGATGATTCTATTGCTTTAAATATGATGGAAATAGAGTAACTGACACCCCATTCGCCCAATTTTTAAAAGGAGTTTATACATAAAACATTCTGAAATGTTAACAGTGATTATTATCTCTGGGTCATTGGGATTATAAATGACTGTCATTTTTATCTTTATGCTGCTCTGAATTTTGAAATATTTCCAGAATGAAATAGCTCTTTCACCTTGGTATGCCTGGCTAAACCTCCCTCATCCTTCAGTTCAGGTCTCATCTTCCCCTTTACTCCTTAGTTGTAGTGTATTCCCCCTTCATGCTCCTCTAATATTCTGGACATCTAATTTTCTTATCACCATAGTACATGAAATTATAATCTATTTCCTTTTTTTATAGGTAGGAAGATATCATATCTTACTTATTTTTGTATCAACTTATAGCACAAAATAGATGCTTAATAAATCTTTTTGTTGAATTAACTGCTAAGAAATTCAGCAAAAATTATTTTATGGTTTCCCTAAATTACAGTTTTAGATACGGTTTTTCTCCATTAGATAAAGGAGTCATTAATAAGTAATTTGGAAAGACATATGAATTATGGAACTCTGAAAATTACAGTAAAATTAGAACACAAATTCAAGTTCTTAGATTCTGTAAGACCATATAAAATATATCTGCATGTCATTTATTACTGTATTTGAACACTCTGTTCGCGAATAGTTTGATTGCTGCTGAGAAATTGCTGTAAGAAATAATTTAGATTTTTTCTTCCCTGTTCCCTGTATGACATCTGTCCTCTTTCTTTGACAATGTAAACTCAATAACAGACACTGAGAGATTTTTCTTGTTTTCATCATTTGAGAATGTATAGTAAAATTTACACATGAACACTAAATAATGATTATTTTAGTGTAATTCTTCATAAATTGGTGTAGAAATAGGAAAGTTAAGGATTATTTAGCTACAAGATTAACTCTGTAATAAGTGTGATATTGATTATTTTCAAGTTAGGAATATAGATGGTACATTCAGGACCATTTAACAAAGACAAGTGATAATTAGGCTTAAAGGCTGATAATTGGAGAAGTAATAAGATGAGGCATGCATATACTTCGTTTACATAACAAGTAAAGGAAAATTAGATTTTTTTAAACCAAAGAAATACCCTATGGATTTTAAATCTCTACAGTAAGGGTGAGAAAAATGCTATTAAAAGTTAATCATCTTGTCTTCTGGTCTACCTTTGTTGTTTGCACGTATTTTTACCTAAGCACTTGTCAAATCATGTTATGTTTCTTCTCTTCTAAACAATGACCTCTTTGAGTGCAGGGCTCATGTCTTGCTTGTTCTTGTATAGTTGCTAGCACATGGTAGGTACTCAAATATGTATTAAATTGAGTTAAATTGGGTTAAGATGCTACCCTCTAGTACTCCTTCTAGAGTGTTGGCCTTACATGGGTTCCTCTGTATGGGTCAGTTGGGGCAAAGAGTGAAAATCAAGTCTTTTTCCTAATCTTCAGGATTGGAGAAATCAGTCATGAACTAAGAGAAGTGGAATTTAAGGGTCTTTTAAATCTGGACATTTGCCTAACATTGGGATGGGCTTCCTAATTACTTATTTCATATATTTTTCTTTCTTTCTTTTCTTTTCTTTCTTTCTTTCTTTCTTTCTTTCTTTCTTTCTTTCTTTCTTTCTTTCTTTCTTTCTTTCTTTCTTTCTTT